CCCATACATACACGCATGCAAACAGGCGTCGGGTGCGCATACGTGTGAAAGCGACGATTTCGCCCATTACGCCGCACATGTTACATATCGCCGCGAACGTCGGAATGAGAGCAATAATTGTAGGGCCATCAATCACTGATAACACTAAACTGATGAGCGGTAAAAGCTTTTAAAGCGTCACCTATGGTCAATTTTGGGTATGGTAATTTTTTGCGATCTTGCGGGTGCGCGCAATTTTAAAGCTTGCCATGTTTGGTGTCTATTTACCCGACGTGACCCCGTCTTTTTATATTTTACCAAAAGTATGGGTGATAAATGGGTGTGGTTACTGGGGGTGTGGCCACTAAAGGGTGTGGCCACTGAGGGGTGTGGTCACCAAGGGGCGCTGTAAAGCTTTCTCGCACAGGGCGCCTAAAGGCCTAAGGCCGGCCCTGGTTACAATGAACGTTTTATTCTATATTCAGAGTGGAGACCTCGGGGATTATAACAGTGCTATTAAAGAAGAGTACAAAGAGGAGGATGAGGAGTACGGTATCATGCAGGAGATTTCAGAAGAACACAAGGAAGCCATGGTGGAGCCATCCAGTAGTAGAAACCCACCAGAGAGATGTCCCCGTCCTCAGGATTCCGCACAGGAAGATCACACAATGGCTCACCATGATCAGGTAGGTGGGATTGAGGGCCTAGAACCTAATACTGTATTTATTCCCTCGACTCGGAGAGGACATTCTTCTAGGTAACTAATATGTTTTCTTTGGGGTTTAGGGTGAAGAACCTAAAGACATCAAACCCGAGGTCAAAGAGGAAGAAAATGATACATTGGTGAGTATAGATCGGCAGTCTATGGAGGAGGAAAGTCCTCTGTGTTCCCGGGATTCCACGTCGGATAATCACACATGATCTGGTAGATGGGACTGGGCAACAGAACTCAAACATGATTCCCATCATGAAAGAGATTCTTCTGTGTCATCTCCTGTTATTGGAAGTTATCTTATCCCGATGTCTTCTCCGGGGTTTAGGATGAAGATCTCGGATACATCAAAGTTGAGGTGAAGGAGGAAGAAGAAGAGACGTCGGTGAGCGGATCCAAAAGTAACCAAAATCAGTCGCCTCTGAGTATCGACACAAGTAAGTTCTGAACGCTGAGACATTTCACGATTCCACTTCTATGAGTATAAAATATATAATTAGGATCTTCCATGAGGCGATCAAAGTTTACATGTCCATCAAGGTAACCCAAAATGTAATAATAATGAAAACCCTAAACGTGGTATTTATATAGATGAAGGCAGAAAACCTTCAGGTCCATCTCCATTCCTCAATATAACGTCATGTGACCAACAAATGAGGAGGAGATACTGTGCACCATATGAAGTTCCATCTCCACTCCCCAATATAACGTCATGTGACCAACAAATGAGGAGGAGATACTGTACAGCATATGAAGGTCCATCTCCATTCCTCAATGTCTCATGTCTCCATCAGAGACGGTTCTACAACAACGTAGGTGACTGATATTTTCTTTCCAATAGGGGAAGTCGATGAGTATGACCTCTGTGGGGGAGATCTTCTGGATTATAATGGAGAAGATATGACGCAATATTCCGCAGACATGAAACCCGTTATCATAGATAGACTCCAAAGTCTTTCCCGTGGAGACTCATCAATGGACTCCGCCAATGCCGAGGCTTCTTCTGAAAAATGCCTTCTCACCATTGACTCGGGTCCTGACGGTAAGGAACGTTCCTCTGATCCATGTGATCTCCCCGGATCCTTTTCCAGGGATATAGACACTGTTACGCTCAGAGATGAGAACGTGTTCATATCTTCCAAAGGTGAAACATGTCCGAAATCCCCTCCTTCCTCAGACCGAAGATCTCAAGCACGCAGGCGCCCGTTTCCCTGCACGGAGTGCGGTAAAGGTTTCTCTCAGAAAGCAGACCTTCTTGGGCACCAGAGAACCCACACTGGCGAGCGTCCCTTTTCCTGTTCGGAGTGCGGGAAGAGTTTCACTTGTAAAAAGGTCCTGATTGCACACCAGAGAACCCACACGGGTGAATGTCCTTTTCCGTGTTCGGAGTGCGGGAAGAGTTTCACTTGTAAAAAGGTCCAGATTGCACACCAGAGGAGTCACACAGGCGAACGTCCTTTTTCGTGTCCCGAGTGCTGGAAATGTTTCATATGGAAGGGGGACCTCCTCAGGCACCAGAGGTGTCACATGGGCGAGCGTCCTTATCCTTGTCCAGAGTGCGGGAAAAGTTTTGCCCAGAAAGGGGAACTTCTTGCCCATCAAAGAATTCACACTGGTGAGCGCCCTTATCCATGTTCCGAATGCGGGAAATGTTTCACTCAGAAATGGATACTTATCGCACACCAGAGGAGTCACGTAGGCGAGCGTCCTTTTTCTTGTCCAGACTGTGGGAAGTCTTTCACCCAGAAAGGAGGACTTGTTAGACACCAAAGAATCCACACGGGAGAGCGGCCATTTTGCTGTTCAGAGTGTGGCAAGTCTTTCTTTCAAAAAGGAGAGCTTCTCACACATCAAAGAATTCACACAGGCGAGCGCCCTTTTTTCTGTTCAGATTGTGGGAAATGTTTCACCCAGAAAGGGGTACTTAATGCACATCGGAGAAGCCACATGGGAGAACGACCTTTTTCCTGTTCAGAGTGCGGGAAAAGTTTTACTCAGAAGGGACACCTTGTTTCCCACCAGAGAAGTCACACAGGGGAACGTCCTTTTTCATGTAGTGAGTGTGGAAAATGTTTCTCACGGAAAGGGTATCTCCTAAAACACCAGATAACTCACATGACCGAGCATCCTATTATATGTTCGGAGAGTGGTAAATATTTATTTCCGGAAGGAGAACTTCTCGCGCAGCAGAACAAAGACACCAAGTAGCCCTTTTTCCTGTCTAGAGTGTGGGAAAAGCTTCACTCACAAAGGAGTACTTATTGCGCACCAGAGATGTCACACTGGGGAGCGTCCTTTTTCCTGCACAGAATGCGGAAAATGTTTAACACAAAATCGACATCTTCTTTCGCACCAGAAAAGTCACACAGGAGAGCGTCCCTTTTCCTGTTCAGAGTGCGGGAAGCGCTTCATAAAGAAGGAAGCTCTTTTCAGACACCAGAGAAGCACGTTCTCCTGTCCAGGAGTGTGGGAAGTGTTTCATGCACAAAGTGCACCTCATCGCACACCAGATGTGTCACAAAGGCGAGCGGCCTTATTCCTGTACAGAATGCGGCAAGCGTTTCCTGGAGAAAAGAAAGCTTCTCATGCACACGGGCGAGCATCGTTTTTCGTGTCACGAGTGCGGGAAACGCTTTATGTTGAAGTCGCACCTGATTACGCATCGGAGGAACCCATGCCAGCTGACACCTGCCTCGAATGTATGCGAAGCGTTGTCCCCTCAGGAACCTGATATTGACCTGGGGCGGAGTTGTGTTATTAAGAATGAATAAATTAATAATAATAATGTGTTTATTATAATGGTTCCTTTTTAAAAATTATTTATGATTTTGGGTTGTTTTAGAATGCACGGGGTAAGGCGGTAACATAATTTCCCATGTAGAGTCCGTAAGGTCAGCCCGGGGGGGGGGTCGGGTGGTGTAAACGTTTGATGAGTGTAACATTTAATATCCTGCATGTGGAATTAATAAATTGGTGAAAAACTGTGTGAACGCGTCCTTTTCTCCCGTCGGAGGATCAATCTTACTAGTCCAGAGGGGTTGGGGGGTGTAGTAGAGAAAGTCCGCCCCCAGAAAACACTGAGCAGAGACACCCCGTAGAAGCAGAAGAGGAAATCAATGAGGGCGAGGCGAGCAACGACACCCCGTTGAAGCTTGAAGCCCTTCTCGTGGACAGGAAACTAACCCCATCAACGCGTTTCGGGGGCATTGAGGCCACTTCATCAGGACCGGTGTAAGAACAGTTAGGGGGAGGCTAAGCTTTACCACAGTTTATTGAATCGGTCTTGCTGATACA